TTTACGCGGAATTTACTTTGCTTTAAATTACAAATTCCTCGAGTCTACCACCGCCCTCAGCCACCCCCTCCCCACCCACCTCAGACATTCTCGACTTGTGTAATAAATTTTAAATGTGCAGGTTTGCGAGGCTAAATTTTACTCCTCGAAGGGGTAAGTTCAACAATGCGATGAACGTTATATTAAATCCGAAACGCGAGAATTTCTTGTGCTACGAAATATTACATAAAACTCTGCCTCTCTTTAAACTGGTACACAATACCGAATTTTATTTAAATTTGTATATTTTGAAGAGAAGTAGAATAAAATAATGTATTTGTCGTTGTCACATTACATTTGTCACGAATTTATGGCAGACGAAACTATTGCAATAAGTGACATCAAATGTAAAATCTACGAAAGAAATAGAATTTTACTCCGCAAGCTGCAGAATTTATCACACACAGTGAAATCTCCAAATTCGAAGATATTTGATGTAATTAAGCTCGCCTATCCATTGGAAACTTTGAGGCATTTTAGGATTGAACTTGACTCGTTACAGTAATATTGGGATGCTGGTTTAGCTTCAGCAATCAAGTAATTCTCAGATACAGCTTACTATTATTTTCTTTGGAATGTTTCAATCTCAAGTGTAGTGGTATTGGTGAAGTCGTTACAACGATCGACCATGTCAGCAGGGACATTAAGCCGCGTACATAATCCGACGCGTATCATAACGCAGACTGCGGGCAACGGCACGCACAGTGTATGGCTGGATTATGGGGTTGTCGACACAGGGGATCGTGTTATTCGGTATCGCGTCCCTCAGGATGCCGTACAAATGGATTCGTATTCCAACGCATTTCTTTCCATGTGCATGCATGCAAATGAGATCACGATTTTCAAATCTCTCAAGGCAACGGAATTAAATTTATCGGATGAGATATCATCAGTTCGTTGTTTTTAGGATTGATGGTATCTGAATACTATAGGAAAGCAATATGATAAGTTTCTATTATTTACAGCGGAGCAGCTTTTAATCTAGCAGTTGCCAATCAATAGCAAAAGTGCTACTGAAATTTTCTTTTTATTTTGTTTGGTTTTCGCCTCTTTGGGAATTTTAAATTCCCCATAAATGTCTAAAATTCGACGGTCTATTCGTCACTGTGTAAAATTTCTTCAAGAAATAAACGGTGTTTCACACGTCTTCTTTTAAAATCCTATGTTTGGTAAAAAAGACCATACTATTAGGATGCACCAATGGCTGGAATGACTGTTACACATGTAGGCGCTAAGGGAACACCGTGCGAGCGCGTACGGAATGTAATACGGTGGCTGACAGCGTCACACGGCTGTTTAAATGAGCCAGCAGGTAGAGTTCAAGAGGAAACCAGCAAGAGTTCCGAAGAGCGTCGTAGCGAGGTTGGTTGCCTAGTCACCAGAGGCAGACAGCTGGGGGACGCACGAAGAGACGCTCTAGGCGATGTTTCTCTTCTTTCCTTGGTCTGTTTCTCTTCTAACTGGCATCGTCCAGCTTCTTTTTCTTTCCTTCTTCTCGTCGCCTGCCTCCATTTCTCAATTCTTTCTTTTTTTCTATCCTGCGTACATTGGAAGCCGCGCTTTTCCTGTTTTCCTCTTTCAGTTTTTTTTTCTCTTTGTACTGTATTTTCTGCCCCGACTTCGTCTTCACCACGTACGCCTTCGCGTCCTTATGTACACGATCCTCGCGTTTCTCGTTTTGCGACGCTCTGGGATCATCCTTTGCCACTGTGAGACGCGATGCTATTGATTACAGATAACGCTCGGTGTGTTGGCTCTGATATGGACACTTTTCAGGGACTCTCTTAGAGCGAGAGTGTTTTTCATTTTCGGATTTTCTCAGTTATCCTCAAACATCTTAAGACCATACAAACACAAAATCTACGTAGATACAGAATTCAACCATCGTCAGATATACCAAGGTGCAGCTGTTTAGCTTCGAAGAACAGTCAACCAAAAATCCATCTGTGTATACGATTCATTTAATAAACATCCTCGGTTACTGGCAAATATTCCAGAACCATAGAAACACAAAATCCAACTAAATAGCAGACTGGCTTCACGAATCTCCTCAATTATCCTTAATCACCTGAAAACTATTCAACCACAAAATCCGAGCAGAATCAGATATACGAAGACCCAGCTGTTTATCGCAAAGAACAGTCATCCCGCGTCTGATCCGCCACAAGCAGGTGTCCTTACTGCAACATTAATTCGACGGGTGATACAGTGTCGTGGAAGCCACGCAATTCCTCCCTCGGTTTTTTAATATCATTCCACTCCGTGTTCCCTGGGTCTGCCATAACTCTTTTCCAGCTTGTAGCCACTAGCTATGTGTTCCTCTGACGCAGACGACGGGGAACCACCCTGGCTGGGGGAATCCGCAGATGCGGCCTCGTCCTATTCGCTTGGGTGGCTCGCAGGCTTGCTCGAGCTTGCGAAAAGCCAGACCATTGACACTGGCGCGCGTACTCCGCCATTGTTGCCGGGCTAATAAAGAAAAATAAAGACTCCTCTTCCTGCAGGATATTAGCTCCACTCTCCTCCCGTCCGTTTCTGTCCTTACGACCCAAGGGAAGACCTTGCTCGACGTCCGGTTTCCGCGTTGCTAGCTTCCGCTCCTTCGAAAATCTCAGCGTTCCTTAATCCGCCCACTGATCGTCCGTCCCCTTTTTATTCTTCGCGGTGAAAGCAAATTACCGGACTCTCTTCCACTTAGCCGCGTCTCTTTGTGCTGTTCCCGGTGATGACACTGTCCTTTTTTCCTCCACTGCGTTGTGTTCTGCGAGCAATGTTTTGCCGAGGCTCTCCCTCTGGCTGATCTTCTGGTATTGTTCTTGGAAACTGGTGGATTCCTTTTTAGAGATTGGAGGCAAATATAGAGGAGTTGATTAGGCGGGAGAAAGTGGGCAGGATGGGTTAAGCGACTGTCGATGTGATTAGTATAATTCGGACTTTCGAACGTAAGAATGGGGTTGGTTTTTTCTTTCTTTTTGGAAATTAGAGAGAGAAGTCAAGCTCATGTTGGTTATAGGAGATGCAAGGAATGAAACAGACGTGAATATTACTAGCAGACTGCAGATATTTGTGCACATTCGTATTTTTTAATCGCTCGCTAATCCAACGCATATATTTCTTCACGAGTCACACACGGAAGAATGTGACCCGAGAATAAAATTTTCCAGATACCAGAGACCGTCGATTCATGATATCCAGCTAATAAAGAAAAATGAAAGCTTGCCCGTAGATATTAGCTTCGTGTTTTCTCTCCATGTCCTCGTTGCTAGCGTCTTTTTTCTTCTCTCAATACAAGAGGAAGGAAGATCAGATGGAAGATGCGCCACGGACGCGACGGAACTGTTTGTTCGTGACGCGGTTTCCAAGGATCTCGAGGAGATGGCGAATTTATGGCTACCCTCCGGTTCGATATTCCTGAAACATTGATCTCCCTTCCATCGCCGCGAATTGTTTCGCGTCGCTCTCGCTCGATTGCATTGAATTGGATTCCTACGAACGATACCCCTGTTCCATTGCCTGCTTCTAGGACTTTGAAATTGGGCCGAGAGAGCTCGCCTGATTTATTTCGTTTGATGACTCCGTACTCGAACTGCTGAGACAAATTACAAGAAGTTTCTTTCTACACCCTATTAACGATATTGTATGACTTTTTAAGTTTGTCTTCGACGTATCCATTATCATGTAGAAATACAAAATTGTCGAATTGTACGATGTAACTGCTAACACGTACGATAAAATGATGTGGTTAGTTTATCTAAATATCTTTCCAAATCGTTAAAAAATTGTTGTTGTTTGCCAAAATCGAACTAACATAGAAATATAGAAATCCAAGGATCACTGAGACTACTAATAAATTATATGCGTCGATAAACTAACCATAACTGATGGAAAATCGTAAGTAGCGCCACCTACGCAATCCCCTAACCTCATCGCGATTGCCAATCGCCTCGTGGCCCGAAGGCGAACGTCTGAAATTCCCCTTTCTAATTACCTATTCCCAAGAAACACGTCCTAGACATTAACGTCGCTTATAAAAAGCCTTCCATTGCTGGAGCCTAACTGCTTCCGTAGTTAGGCGAGCTGATCGATTCGAAATGACAGAAAAGTAGAGTGGAGAGAGCTGAGCAGACGTTCAGCCTAATATCAAGCTTTGGCCTTCTATACTTATCTAGGTTGTACGGTTTATTCAACAACCCCTCACGAAAGTCTGAGAAACAGCACACTCGTGGCGAATTAATGCGAACCACCGTGTTCGTTTCCAAACATCGATGGCCTGCAATTAGGGGAAGGCCCACGCCAGCCAAAACTGTTCCACTGGTCATTCTTTCGCTCGACAGAAACCGGATAATGACCTCTGTGCCGAGCATTCGATGCATCAGATGGTTGGAATTTCGGCGATAGACTATTTTTCCTTGGGGGAGACAGCTTGTAACGGAGTTTCTCAGCTCTTAACTATCTGAAACTTAGCTGCTACACTCTCAATATATAATAATTGCTGTTGATGCAATCGCTGGAATCTTGAGGTTTGTGCTTAGAAAAATTTGGCAAGACAAATTTGACGAGATCGAAGCGAACATTATTAATTAAAGCGAGGACGTTTCTAACGTCCAATTATTTTATTATTATTATTATTATTATTTATTTTTATTATTTTAAGAAAGCATCGCGTTTGCTCGAGCAAAAATTTTAAGATAAAATTAACCATGAAAATGTACTTTGAAATGTTGAATGTTTGTTTGAAAGTGGAACGCATTTTTTTATCTTCTTTTTCGCAAAGGAAAGAAAAATTGCAGAGTAAGTTAGCAAATTGTATAACGACCAGACTCTTGTATCTGTCTCCGTGTACATTCTAAATTATGAGCTAATAATACAAATTTAAAATTACGTCGAGAGAGACTTTAAGGAGTTGTTATTAATATATTAGACGATCTCTGACCTGGTTCTTTCTATTTTTACTGTTTCAGATTCGAAGATGAAGTGGCCATTAGTGCTGACTTGCTTTCTGCTGCCGCATTCGTGCATCCTCGGTGCATCGCATGCCTGTAAGTGGTTATTCTTGCTGTTTCTTATCCTGTAATCGCGGAATAAATTATATCGTCGGCAATCATCTTGTTATTCCGCGCATCGACCGTGTGACAGGCCGATGAATACCTTTCTTGCTGCCATCGGCGAATAAATTAGCGTACAACTCCTTTTTCATACTCGACTCCATTATCCTCGAAATAGACCCCCTATTTCGTCATTTAACCTACAAAATTCACCATCTATTCAACAATTTATGACGAATTTTAAAAGTAGAACAATTTTTCTTACGAGGCAAACAAATGTTGGAAATTCTAAAAATTGTACGCTCTTTGAGGCACCGATCGGTGCTCTTAAAATGATAGTATATTAAATTTGAAATAATAATTTCTGATAGAGAAAAAGAGACGAGTTCCTAATTTACAAATAATACGTCTGCTTGAAATTCACATTCTATGTATTATACACGAAACATGAAAAACAGAATATCGAACTATATTCCCATAACGTAGAATTGCCACGTTAGACCGATACTCTTGTGAAACCGCCGAAAACCTTCGATTCACCGAAAAACATACTTTCTAGCGATCCATAAATCTCTCCTCAACATCCCCAAATTGGAAAAACTGTAACAAGACGATCACTCGAGGAAAGTTACTCGTTAATAAATGTTCTCGACCGCATCACAAGTCGTCAAAGGGTTGAACCGGATGGTAAAACCGGCGCCACGATTTCCGGCCGCTATTATAGCGTCGTAAATCATCCCGTCGATCGACAGTTCGTAAAGGGGGTGCATGGAAGGGTGCAAACAGAACGCCACGCCATGCCACCCCTCAGTTTCGTGCAACGAGCCGTGAAAACGAGGCATCCAGGCCAGAAAAACAGTCGAATTGGATCCACTTTCCTCTTTCTATTAGCCCGGCCCGGCTGTGGACGGAGCGCAAAAGACCTTAATCCACCCCTTGTTGCACGGAGTCTGGCGTGAAACGTTCGCGAAAATAACACCAGGACAGGATGAGTTGCTATAGCTCGTGGAAATATAGCGGGCTGGCATGGATCATTCCTTTAGAGCTAACGCACAGCCAACCGAGGATCTTCGAGCATTCTGCATACGATGATACTTTCATACCTCATTGCATAACTCGAGGTCTGCCTCTTCTTGCCTCGGAATTTTATAATATTTATAATAAATATTATATAATAGTATATAGTATAGTTAATATATTAATTATAAAATGTTTAATTATAAAATGTTTAATTATAAAATAGGATATCAGACGAGTGAGAAATTATAGGCTGTCCACATTCCATCTACTTTCTACTTAATTTCTAGTTTAGGGCATTTCGAATGTGCAAGTTGAATGTGTATGAGAAGTTGGAATACGAAGGTGTTAAATTTATAAGAATTTGGAATATGGAAGCTTCGTAATAGCGATCTTCGCAACGGTGTATCATGCAACCTGCTGCATTTCTATATTCGCAGCGGTAACAAGCCTCGTACTGTGTGTACGGTGCTTTAATCCTGTCCTCATACAGGCACCACGTGTTCGGATAAATTATTATACTTCTCGTCCCTTCTGTTCTGGAGGAAATGCCAAAGCAGGAGAACATGTTGTTCTTATTGCTTTTATTCCTTGCGTAATTAATCATCGAATGGCGACCCTTTAGGGCTGGATAGAAGTTAGGAAATTGGAGTTTGTTTTATCGAGGTTATGTAACTATTCTATTTTGTAGAAACAGCTAAAAATAGTTGGGAGAGATGCCATTCGATCTGAACAAAATTTGTTAGAGCTTATGGAATGTATATTTAGAAATGTCACAGTGTAATTACGATTGTATTGCAAAAATAATTTGAGGAAGTTCGGGGAAGCACGAGCTCGTTTGTACAAATTTTAGAGATCACAAGAATACAGATCGAATACGGTATGAAAATAGATCGGATACGGTATGAAAATAGAATACTAAAATAAATAGAAATAGCTAGAAATATTTCTAGAAACAACCGGAATAAATTGGAAGCGATATTAAAATTGGCTCTTGGTTTAAATATCGATCGTGAAATGTGCTAACGTAAAAGTAGGAAAAGTGACTTCGAAAGTTCGTAACTAAAGCAGTAGAAGGAAAACTGGGTAGTGATCGGTCAATCGATCGATTGGCAGACATTAAGCAAAGGAACGTCGAATTCCTATCGTTACGTAGTATTCTAGTGCTATACGGCTAATTTGCATGTGAATGGACCGTAAAAGAACTGTCGGAGATAAGCCGGAAGCGCGTAAATATTTCCCGGTCGCTGCTAACTTCGGTAATAAACAGCTTAAAGGATCGTAATCGTATAGCAGACGAAATTGTTCTGAATGGTCGAAATGGTAATCTTCATCTGGATTACGATCTCGTTCCGGGACATTATGCACCATTAGGAATATGCTATATCTGCTGGTCGCGCGTGTAATAAATTCCTTAGCGTAGCTTATTACTATCGTTAAAAGTGGCCGATTCCAGTGCAGCAGCTAGGCAACATAGTTTCATGTGAAACTTATTTAGTTCGCTCGTAAGAGTCTGTTAGTCACATTAAGTCTCGCTTAAGCTTCTAACAGATGGTTGGAAAGTGCCTTTTATTAAATTATACAGTCTTGGATATTTTATAAAATCATTTATGGTAAATATCAAGCATCATATCGGTTGTTGTATATTTCTGATTAATCATATTTTCAACCATCTTTTCCTCTGCTTCGTGAACTCTTAAACTTTGACTTTATATTATCCGTGTCTTAAAATTTTAGCCAAACTCGATTATAATTTAAAATACTCTTCGCCCCTAATGGTACCTTGCACAAATTTTGAAACCCAACTGACTCTTACCTAAATTTCTACATGTAACCTACAGAATCACTATAGTGTAGCATCTTCGCAAACTATTACGCAACCCAGACGGTTTTCAAACTATGGGTACTCGGTTTTTGACACTCACGGAACTGAAACATGTTGACCCACTTCCAAGTCCAGTCCTCTAGCTGCTTATGTACCTAATCGCCGCAATTAGCTAGCGCATACGTAGCTCATCATCGAACTAACTAACCGCACACGTTTCGTTGTTCTTCTGCTCACAGTGTTTGGTCCATTTATCGATTTCTATTCAAACCTGACTTTGCTGAACCCTTTTTGCATAATCGTGACAAACGGAATTGATGTACGTGGTGATTTGTTAGAAAATAACGCAAGTATTGCTGTGAATGAACGAAACGAGGGCGAAAAAGCTGCCGATAAGAAAGCTATTAGAGCGTTGAATTTTTTAGAAATTGAATTGCAATTTCGATAGAGGCCGTGTCCATTAGAATCTCCACTTTATCCAAAAGAATTTGTCAATTCGCGTAGCCATTGGAAAACAAAAGAAAAAAGGGAATGAGCGAGATCCGGAGGGGCGATCGATTGTTTCGCGAGGACCATTAACGAGTTTCCAGCTTCTTAGTCGACGAACGTGGCCAAAGCGGCACTTCAATCGACGTAGACGGCCGGCGCCGTTAGTCTCGAAGCCGCCAATTAAGTCGAAAGGGGAAAGTCTCGTCGAGTTCTCCGATGCGGTTCCTTTGCCCCTCTAGCAACCTAGCAGAGGGTGATTGCACTTTGGCCCTGAGAACAGTGTCCGCGTGTCTGGGGTCCGCGTTGTGAATTGCCAGACCGATGAACACGAAGGGATTGTCACGAAGATTTGCCTGTACGACGTTAAACGAGTCGCATACCACCGGACAAGTGGCGAATCGAGTGTAGAAGGGTTGAGGAACATGACTTGGAACGCGTGCCAGAACGCAGGAAAAGACTATCGACCCATCTGTCACTCTCTGCGAGGAGTAATTGTTTCGAATCCAGTCTCTGTCTTCGTAAAAACGCATCTAGAAAGGGGTTTAAGGATTCAGTGAACGAAGGCTGTGAAGAAAAACGACGATCCCTAGAAATATAGATTAGAGAGAGAGAGAGAGAGAGAGCAACATATAGACAGATTTAAATATAAGGAATCTTTACATTTTTTTCTGAAAAGGGACTCTTTGGGGATCTAAAATAAAAAAGATGATGAAAACAACAGACAGTCCGAAAGCAATAAACGTCACATAGATTGTAGAAACCATTGATCTTTGAATAAATAACGTCTAAAAGGAAGAAACAAGGAAGACAAATATGAGGAGGATTAAGTTGAACCGAGAGGAACAGGCTAACATTGGAAAAGAACAGGTTCCAGGGAACGCTGCAATCGTTAATGATTCACTTTTTGACGTGCCACGGTATTTTCCAGCTAATTGATGACATGGAAAGACTGCCGCTTCTCGATTGAAGCGCCATCGCTTTGCAAACTCGCGGACGTCGGCTAAGTAGCTACGAACTTGTTAATGGTCGTCAGGAGAACAATGACGCTGGGACTCTGTTCCAAGTCCATTGTTGCCAGTAACTTTCAACCCCTTACATATTTTTCACGCGTCGATGACAATCACGGTCGCTTGAAGAATTTTCAACGAACGATCGCCATTGGTTAACAAAACGACGTCAAAGGAAGACACTTTAAACGCTTAACCGATTCTCTTCTTTCGTCACATTTCATAATACGAAAGATAGTTTGGGCGTTCCAGTTTCTGGAAATGAGACGTGGCTGTCTGAAAATATTATCAAGTTGACTCTTTCTACTATCTGAAGCTCTGACCGTTTTCTTCTTCTCTCTCTTTTTCTTGTTCCAAGCAAGAATTTTTGTTTCTTCAACGTTGTATCAGAAAAGGTAGCCTCACCGTGTTGGAACGCAACTTGTTAGCAATAACGTTGATTATTATGTTGTATTGCTTGGAAATTCATCGAGAAAAGATCTGAACTCATCCTGTTGCAAATTATATCATCCTTGCGAGCACACTTTGTACACAGGACTGTCGTAATAACTTTGTATTAAGAGTATCCTGCAATCATTTTTTCTCCTCACTCCTTGTATTGGCAAGCGGCGAAAAGCCCACACTTGGAAGCATCGGCGAGTACGCTAAACGTCTGA